TCCGGCCGGGCTGCACGTCTGCAGTGGGGCGAAACCCACCTCAGGTGATAAGGAAGCCCATGTCAAACATTGCAGAAACTCGCCTCAAACGTTGAGGAAACTTACCTCAAACGCTAAGGAATCACCTCAAAGGTTGAGGAAACCCACCTTAAACATCAAGGAAACCCATCTCAAATGCTGAGGAAAGCCATCTCAAATGGTGAGAAAACTCACCTTAAACATTAAGGAAACCCATCTCAAATGCTGAGGAAACTCACCTCACATGTTAAGGAAACCCTTCTCAAACGCCATAGAAACCCATGGAATCTCAGTCATTAAGGAAATCCATCTCAAATGTTATGGAAGTGTTTTTTTTATCAAAAGGACAAAAGGGAGATGAGCAGTAGATACGCAAGCAACAAACTGATCCTTAAACTGTTCCAAATGCAGCGGGCTTCTTTTCCTCTAGAAGGTACCCTGTACCCTGTTTTCCACTCTCGTGTTCAGTGATTACCATAATTAATCATCCCAAGTAGGAAAACACCCACCAAAAACTCTTCATCAAAGTCTCTCGTGCGATTTCTTCGCAGACCTCCGATGTGCCCCTTCAAATGTGGGCTTGAGTGCAGGAGCTTAAAGGCAGGAGCTCACTGGCTTCCAGCAGTGCTGAAACATCTCCTGGTCTCCTAGCAGGTACTCACATGCTTTCCAGCACCCAAAAAGCAAGCAAAATTTTGCCTGGGGCCTCACCTGGGTCAGTGTTGTAGGCCCCAGCTCCACCAGTTACTCCCTTCAACGGTGTCCATCAGCACCAGAGCATCTGCTGGTCCCTCTCCCGTTTCTCCACGTCCCTTTTTGGGCAGGGAGCTCCAAACAAGGCACAGCATCGCTGATGGGTCCCCAGGACACCAAGCAGGGAATACCAACTGCCCTCGAGGTGTTCTGGAATTTCCCTTTCCAACTGGAGCCATTTGAACCCAACCCCCAGGACACGAGGGAGGACCAGAAAGGAGCTGCAAGGACGACCCTTTCAGGCAGTTTTTGCAGCTCTGCGCCTCTCAGCCTCAGCCTGTGCCAAATCTACACGTGCTGGCTGCCTTCCAGGTGGGCATCTGTTTATAAGGAGATTTAGTAGCTGGAAAGGGAATCCAGTCCGTGCAGGGACCAGCAGTAAGATGCTCTTTTCACTGGGGAGAGTAATTAGTGCCTGAAGCCGCTCAGAGTTGGAGTCAGACAGTGAAAACGTGTAAATCGTGTAGATGTCTC